TGAAACAAACAAACCCTGTCACCAAACAAATTAAACTCTGGATCCCAGAGACTGAAGGTACCCTGCTGGACTGTTTCGCCCAGACAGACTGGGATGTGTTTAAAGCTGCAGCCACCTCAGAGGACTTTTCTGAGTTGTTGATAAACACATAGACACACACCTTCCCCTTTGGACTTACCAGCTTCTGGAGTCCAGTCTCGGTGTACTGAGTGAGTCTGTAGCTGAACAGCAGACTCTCTTATTTCCTGCTGTGTTGTAATCCTGGCTCTTAGCTCATCCAGTTTGTTTTCCAGAGACTGCACATTAGCTAGCAAGAGGCTGGGTAGTGGTGGTTGGCTAACGCAAGCTTTTAGCCTAGCATGAAGCCCTCCCTTCTTGCCGTGCTTGCGTCTCCATCTCCGGATCACTGTCCTGGGGTCAGCCTGCTCACTCCAGGTCGGTGCTTCGGGGCCTTCCTGGGGTTGATGGTGGTTGCTGCGGGAGCAGACAATTAGTCGTAGATCCGGTGGAATAAAACCCGGCAAATTCCAGAGGACTGTGATTAGTGATGTCCAGCAATGTCTGTCTCTTGTACAGTATGTTAGCAGTGCATGACAACTGTGCACTGCACAAAAAGCGAAACACACACACACACACACACACACACACACACACACACAAAAAATAGCCGGCATTCAACAGCGGAACGTTGAGATATTTGGTACTAGTTTGTACCTCTTCCTTAGCAGTAACAATTCCTTATAGAATTTTATCCAGTGAACATAGTATATGGAAACACAGAAGTAGTTGAAGTTCTTTTTTTTTTATCTCTCTCTCTCTCACACTCACTCACATAGACAGACACACACACACACAGAGCAAGTACTCACAGGAAGAGTAATTTCTAAAATGTGGTGGTATGCTACCCAGAGCAACTGGATGGTCAGGAAATGTCAACAATGTGGTTGCTTTAATTGAACAGTTGGTTGAGGCTAAATCCTCAGTGAATGTAGTGGTGTCAACCACATGGCATTTTGTCAGTCTGAAGCTATCCACACAGCCCAACAGTAGAATACATCGTTTTGCACTTTGGTTGGTTGGTTTACATAATACATTTTTAAACAATATTTTGATTCATTCAAGGAATTCTGCTGCTGTGAGATTGCTCTGTTCACAAGAAGCCATCTGCATGTTGGAGCACTAAAAATATGGGACAAGGCAGGATTTGTCTCGTATCATGTGGAGTTAATTGAAAACATTTCTGCAAGATACAGGATATGACTAAGTGCTCACTGACTCACTCTTCACTGGCATCTGTCCTGTTTTTTAGTGGTGAGATCAGCCTGTTGAGGACCCGGGACAATCTGGGAAAAATAAAACAAAAAAATGCTCATCAAGCCCGAAGTTCAGCACATATCTTTAACACCTTCACTGATGTGGTAGCATACTGTGAGCCTGCTCCTCTCAATCGACAGCCATCTGGAAGAGTAGGGAAAAACGGAGTTATATATGGAGACGAAATCTGGGGCCTTATTTGTCAAAGAGCAAGTCTGTACGAACAAGACAGTTTGCATTTATCAAAGTTGTGCATGCACAACCTTATGCAGTGAACAGTGATAAATCTCACCTGTTCTATATCCATCTGCTCATGTACTTATAAGGTCATTTACATATAGACAAGCTTCCAAAATACCCTCTGAAAATCCTTCTTAACATGTACAGCTGTTGTGGGCAAAAGTTGCAAACAAGGAAAAATAGCATTAGAAACAATCTTGTTGCAGTGTCGGAGCTGACGTGTTTCCAGTCATGCACCAGACTAACGACATAGGCTAAGTCCCATTTTTCATGTGTACCAGAGCTGTCACTGTATTCTATAACGTTTCCACTGCTTCACCACTTCATTGGTGCCGTACAAGTGATTACTAAAACCCTTTTCAGATAGGATAGGTAACATTGCTGGCTTCATCAACTGTTTTGTGATGGCTTTCTGTCATACCGATATAGTTCCTTTTATGTTCCTCACGGCTTCATTAAGCCATACTCAGGACCATGATGGAGAGAGAAACAGTACAGGTGTGATATTTGCCATACATACAAGTTCATTGTAATCTTGTGCTTGCCTATTCATTAATGTAAGGGCATGCAGTTCAGACTTGTATTGTGGTGAAAGTGATACATAAATGTTACTAGGTCTGATCTAGAAAGGTTGCCATGGAGAGTTTTACAAAAAGGTGACCAGGGTGCTCATTCAGACATTCAGACAAGGGACCTATTTGCACGTATGAATGTTGTGCCTTGGTGGAGGTACAAGTGCTCTGAATGCTCTTGTTTGATCATTTGTGATGTCGCAAAGCTCATTTTCTTGCTCTGAAGAGCCAGGACGCTGCTGGAGTAGCCATGCGCAAGGATGCATGAGAGCATCTTTCACGGAAGACTTTTACGGATTGACGCACTTCTTTATCAGAAATAAGTCAGTGCTTAGCTGCTGTGAATATGCACAGTTGATAAGACCATAGGGCAGAGTTTGCAGTGACAGGAAATGTAATCATTGACAGTGAGATTTATATCGACCCCAGATATGGACCTATACTTTTGTTTTTTGTAAGTCTTTGAAACAGTTCATTATTCACCTCTGACTGGATTATTTGTTGATCATGCTAAATAATTACCTATCATGGCTGTGATCGAATCAGACTGATGATTCACATCATGGGCTCACAGTGGATGTAGCATTATTTACAGTAGATATGTGTATATTATAGTGCTTCACTGTAGATAACTGTAGCTTTTCTGCTTTTTGTGGCTGTCATGGCATTCTTAGTTTTTCCTGAGTGAGAAATGCTTGTTTCCAAATAATAAACTGAAATAAAATGTGCACACTTCAGTCATGTCTCATAAAACCCATTCTAATACATGACAGAGCAACACGCAATGCCTACGTTTTCACACACACTTTACCTGCGCATATATAATATCGACTCTGAAGGAATTTCAACCAGCCCCTTAATCCTAACGTGATGATTGAAGCATAGATTGGATGAAGGGAGCCTGAAAGAAATGAGAGATTTTGAGATGTGCAGGTGAGAGGGCAAGGGGTTCAAAGATGGGTGGAGAGAAGGGAAGAGAGGGAAGCCCAGATGAAAGTAGGTGGTTTGTCCCAAAAGTGCTTGCGCTTTGTTGCATTGTTCTTTAGAAGTATGCTGACTTCACTATTCTGTTGTCTGCTGCTGCACTGAGACCTGGTATTGGCTGGGTACTTACAGTCAGATTATTATTATAAAATATCATTGTAGCAGTAGGTTTTTCAAGGTAAAAACCATATACAGTGCCTTGCGAAAGTATTCGGCCCCCTTGAACTTTGCGACCTTTTGCCACATTTCAGGCTTCAAACATAAAGATATAAAACTGTAATTTTTTGTGAAGAATCAACAACAAGTGGGACACAATCATGAAGTAGAACGAAATTTATTGGATATTTCAAACGTTTTTAACAAATAAAAAACTGAAAAATTGGCCGTGCAAAATTATTCAGCCCCCTTAAGTTAATACTTTGTAGCGCCACCTTTTGCTGCGATTACAGCTGTAAGTCACTTGGGGTATGTCTCTATCAGTTTTGCACATCAAGAGACTGAAATTTTTGCCCATTCCGCCTTGCAAAACAGCTCGAGCTCAGTGAGGTTGGATAGAGAGCGTTTGTGAACAGCAGTTTTCAGTTCTTTCCACAGATTCTCGATTGGATTCAGGTCTGGACTTTGACTTGGCCATTCTAACACCTGGATATGTTTATTTGTGAACCATTCCATTGTAGATTTTGCTTTATGTTTTGGATCATTGTCTTGTGGGAAGACAAATCTCCGTCCCAGTCTCAGGTCTTTTGCAGACTCCATCAGGTTTCCTTCCAGAATGGTCCTGTATTTGGCTCCAGCCATCTTCCCATCAATTTTAACCATCTTCCCGGTCCCTGCTGAAGAAAAGCAGGCCCAAACCAGGATGCTGCCACCACCAAACATGTGGAAGAAGGTGCTCTGGTCAGATGAAACCAAAATCGAACTTTTTGGCAACAATGCAAAACTTTATGTTTGGCGTAAAAGCAACACAGCTCATCACCCTGAACACACTATCCCCACTGTCAAACATGGTGGTGGCAGCATCATTGTTTGGGCCTGCTTTTCTTCAGCAGGGACAGGGAAGATGGTTAAACTTGATGGGAAGATGGATGGAGCCAAATACAGGACCATTCTGGAAGGAAACCTGATGGAGTCTGCAACAGACCTGAGACTGGGACGGAGATTTGTCTTCCAACAAGACAATGATTCAAAACATAAAGCAAAATCTACAATGGAATGGTTCACAAATAAACATATCCAGGTGTTAGAATGGCCAAGTCAAAGTCCAGACCTGAATCCAATCGAGAATCTGTGGAAAACTGCTGTTCACAAACGCTCTCCATCCAACCTCACTGAGCTCGAGCTGTTTTGCAAGGAGGCATGGGCAAAAATTTCAGTCTCTCGATGTGCAAAACTGATAGAGACATACCCCAAGCGATTTACAGCTGTAATCGCAGCAAAAGGTGGCGCTACAACGTATTAACTTAAGGGGGTTGAATAATTTTGCACGCCCAATTTTTCAGTTTTTTATTTGTTAAAAACGTTTGAAATATCCAATAAATTTCGTTCCACTTCATGATTGTGTCCCACTTGTTGTTGATTCTTCACAAAAAATTACAGTTTTATATCTTTATGTTTGAAGCCTGAAATGTGGCAAAAGGTCGCAAAGTTCAAGGGGGCCGAATACTTTCGCAAGGCACTGTATATGTACATGCACAGATGGATTGTCAGTGTTCTGATGTACACTGCTCAAAATCTCTGTGACCCTGTACACACGAGCACACCTTTCTTTTGAAATGAATAGAAAAGGTTGTCCAAATTTTTGACTGCTAGTGTATATTAGTATGCGTTGTGGTGTTTAATATGTTAAAGTAATTAGTTTCTGATACCTTTTGGTTCTTTGTCATCATGCAGGTATGACTACAGAGAGATGCTGTACAACTCCACATTCTGCCTGGTACCTCGAGGACGACGCCTTGGTTCCTTTCGCTTCTTAGAGGCTTTACAGGTCAGTCACACAACTACAGCTGTTCCTCATCATTTCTGTCCGTCAGGTTTCAGAATTAACACTGAACTCAACTAAACCTCACAAAAAGTCTGCTCTCTGCAGACTTGCATTCTGCTCTGCTCTCCTCTCACATTATAATTTACACTTTTTTAATGTTTGTACATTTGTCACATTTGTCTAGATGGTACTGAACGTGTCACTTATGATCTCATTTGCACAATCTGCCTATTTGATTTAGATGTACAAAGATGTTTGAAGATTCTTTATGACAAAGTAAAAAAGGAGAATAAAAAAAAAACAGTTTACCTTGAACCTGATGGAATTATGTTAATAAAAAGCCCTTTCTTCACTGTGAGGAGAGAACTTGAGTTATTGTTGTCGGGGATCAAAATGAGCCTAAATTTCGGGGCATAAAAAATGTTCAGAAATTAACAGAGTTGCTTTATCTGTCAGTTAATTATAATGTCCACAGTAGATAAGCTGCTGTAATGAAGGTATAATAATGTTAAGGTAAGACAATGTAGTCTTTGAAGGAAAACAGCAGAAGAATATAGGTGACATATCACAGAGATTTATGGGACCATTTTGAAAGCAGTGCTGCTAATCTAACAAATGAGTGTTCTCTTGAGATATCTGCTTGTTAAATGAGTGTAATTCTGGGATGTGACCAATCAGCAATTTTAAAATATTCCACTTGAACTAATGATTTTATAGGCTACTGTACCTTGAGTGAGTATGATCATGTCTGTTACCGACACTACAGGCTCAGCTGAACTGTAGGACCTGCAGGCTTGCTTGCCAATGAAAGCTGAAAGGAATACTGCATTGCATACTTAAATGGCCAACATGTGGCTTCACAAAGCTCTGTAATTGTGACAAAGCTGTCAAATCTGCCAGTGTACAGGTAAATATCTGATGAGGTGAACAGGTATTGTAATTCTGGTGTGTTGACTCTGGACATGTAGGGACTTAATAAAAGTAGTGTTTATAGTGGAAAGGCCTTGGCAAGCTTCGTTTTGCCTTCAAATACACTGAGCACCAGTATGAAAACATGCACACATGAAAAATATTCTTGTATTTTTGTCAATACATATGGGAGAGTGATTTGGAGTTGTCCCAGTGTGCAATTGCATTTCAGGTCTTAGCTGTTTTCTGCTCCAGTGGCTTGCAGTATATTGAGTGCAGCAGTGGAAAAAAGTCTATATTTATGCCATTAAAAAAATCAAAAGCAAACAAACTAATGGTGTTACTTTCCTCTGTGTGAGTTATGTTTGTATCAAGTCCCGGAGGCAACAGCGCTGGGGAAGGCAGCTGAGACATAGTTGGGGTAGAGAGAGATTTTTGAGCAGGTAGAATAAGAAGGATGTTTTGGGTTTGCATAGACTTGCATAGGCTGGACTCTGTATTGACTGGAATGGAAGGATAATTGCACCACCAGGGTGAAAGGAGTGAGGCAAGGTGAGACAGTGGACGGATGACCAGGTTGAAACAGGCAGAGCAAGCGGTGCGGCTGTAGTTGAGGCAGTGTGCAGAGGCTGACCTAAGTCTAAGGCTGGAACGTAGCCTGGAGGTATTAGTGTGCCTGTCCACTGGCTGCCTTATACAAGAGCACAGAAGCTGAGGAGGGTAGGCAGACACTGGAGAATTAGGGGAGGTTGAAGGCAGTGCAGGCTTGCATGCTGTATTAGATACACTGGCCCAGTGGAGTATTCCAACAGGCCAGATAAGCAGTGTGATAGTCCAGAATGGAGGTGTTCACATGACTTAACTAAAGCTGGATTGTTGAGGAGGGCTTAGCTGTTTTGGCAGATGTCGGGCACAATATGCTAAAGTTGCACTGAGATGCTGTTACACCTGTGTTTGCAGAGTTCATGGAAGTCAGTTTTATTAATGAGTTTGTTCTGCATGTGTGTATAATGCGATGGATTGGAGACGACTTTGTGAAGGCATGACAGTGCTTCAGCAGTGTACTACTTTTACTAATGATACAGAGGAGATTAGACAAAAACTGCAGCGCTCTGAGACATGCGTGTGCATGTGTAGTGACCAAGGCCAATCAGTGAATGGTACTGCACTTGTAAGATTATAGGGCCTGCCAGAGCAGTGCTGAATGTGCTGTCCAGCTGTTGCGAACACACACACGGACTTGGAGCACCAACGTGCACATGTTTGCACTCACACAAATAGGTGAACAGATTCATAAAGGTGTGCACACACACACAAACATGGATACACACTTCAGTGCAATTTCATAAATCTCTCAGGCGTAGGGGATTAATGTTCAAGTATACTGTGAAGTGCATCTTCTTTGCCACTGAGTATAATGATAACTTTTATGAGGCTGCACTGCTGAGAGTTATTCTTCAAGGTAACGCAGTAATTCTGTAGTTAATGGAAAAGTGTTATATGATGTGTTGGTCCTACTGGTTAAATGCCTGATTTGATTGCTTGGGAAATGGACCGTGTACAGTGATGGTCTTGCAAAGCATAAGCCATTGGTATTATGTTTCAGTTTTCTTATCTTCTTAGTTTATCTTCATATTATCGCCTGCAGAAATAGAAACTGTACCATAAGGGTGATGTGTGGGTGTTGCCTTTTGAATATTAATATTTTAAGACTAAAGTCATGGGCGGTGCTCATTTAACTTCACCTCGCCACTGACCACACCATCACTGTACTGATTTAATACATTCATTTATTTATACATTTTTTTCTTGTAGTGGTAGGTTTGCATTATTTCCATACTGTGGGTGTCATGAACAACACAAGTTCCTCAGAGCAGCTTTTCCTAACAGTTTATGTCATTAACCAACAGTGTGTTTGTGTTGTGTGTTACACTTATAGGCAGCTTGTGTGCCTGTGATGCTAAGTAATGGCTGGGAGCTTCCCTTCTCAGAGATCATTGACTGGAATACGGCAGCTGTGATGGGGGATGAAAGGCTGCTGTTACAGGTATGTTCAGCTTCTGCTACAGGAGAAACTTAATACAGATCTAAATTTGATTTAGTCAAGAGTTTTGTCAGCACTGCTGTAAGAAAAGGCACTGATCTGAACAATGCTGTCACATTGCCACTTCCTTTTGTATTTTTTGAGCATGGCAGTGCATTTTGTGGATGAAATGACAGTATATCCAGTATAGTACAAGTGTTTTTGTTTTTGTCCAGGCTAAATTATGTATGTTAACATCTGTCCACTTCTGTGCTAGATCCCCTCAACAGTGCGCTCCATTCACCAGGATAAGATCCTGTCCCTGAGACAGCAGACCCAGTTTTTATGGGAGGCTTACTTCAACTCTGTGGAGAAAATAGTGTTGACCACACTGGAGGTACACAAATATGTTTATACATACAGTGCAACTACACACACACATACACACACACACACACACACACATGTAAATTGCAAATTTCAATAGGGATGCACTAATACCACTCTATCAGACCAAGTACAAGTACTTTGCCAACACCATGTACAGATACAAGTACTTTATAATAATGCTGTTCCTACTACAAAAATTGCATTTTTTATTTTCATGAGATTTACCCACAGATTTTGATTAAATAAAATATAACAAAAGGCTGTGGAAATTTGAAAACCTTTTGATAAACACTGCCACCATTGCTACTGAAGATGTAACTGATTGAAGGTGTGCAGCCTACTACATAACATACTGTAATCCAGTGGTTTTTACCCTTTGTAGGACTGCAACCCTCTGTTAGGATTAAATTATTCCACAACCCCCGCCTAGAATGGCAAGTTCAGGGAGCACATAATATCACAGTCTGCAATTTCAGCATTTAATTTAATAAGGATACATGTTCTTACTTTAAATGGGCTGCTGCCTGTGGCTTCATCCTGTGGCTTCATCCTGTGGCTTCATCCTGTCCTCTCTGCTGGACACACACCTGCTTTGCTGTAGAGGAGCTGCTGGTCTCAGTGTCTAAGTCCACAAGGATTCAACCCATTTACATACACAGAGCTCCTTAGACTCCACCGTTAAGTACATACAATTAGTGTTCGCCTCATTCACTACAGTCAGCAGAATTGTATGGGTTTAGTGGGTGATCTGGACCAGGTATTTTGACCATGAGGAGAGTGAAAATGGCTCATTTCTGCAGGTTTTGTTGTTGTGTTCAGCTTGTTCAACAAGTGTTTAATTACTCTCTCTATTACTATTGGTTTTACTGCACATATCGAGTGTTGACATATCTGTAAAATGTGACCGTGTGTCTGTGTGAGATGGGGAAGGAAGGGCATTCACAGACACAGAGCAGAGAATCAGAACTCACAGTTGGCTTTACTTTTGTCATCCTCGTTTATCTTAGACTATTTACAGACAACTGAAATTTCTTCTCCATCGCCTAATGACCGGCTCAGTCAGCATGAGGTTAATGTAATACTGCCTTTAAGTAGTACTGATGTGTAGTATCGGACATGTACTTGAGGGTGGTCTCGGACCTGATACCCACTAATGAAATCGGTATTGGTGCATCCCTAAATTTCTGTATATTATAGTATGAATTATTATGAACAGTCTTTTTCATTTTTAAACAGAAAATTAATTGGCATAAATGCTTTGCACCCTGTAATTTGGAAATAAGACATATTTACCAGTAAATCAGTTATTTTTCAGTTGCATGAAAACAACTGTGCATGCTTGCACACAAATTCACACAGGCATAAAAATACATATCAGGGTACATTTGTTTGTGATTTTTTTTGTTCATATATATTTTTTGAAGTTACTTCTGTTCATCCCAGTCACTGGTTTTGTACTGGCATCTTTCTGCAGTCTGTGCACTTGCAGACATAATGCCTATAGTGAAACTGCTTCATACTTGATTGAAAACCAAGAGGGATGATATATTTTCTTAAACACTCCTGTCATGTTTTTGAGGCTGTTTCTTGCTGCGGCTTGGCTATCAATCTTATCAGCAGTTTGCTCCTGTCAGAGTCCATTTATCTGTATTCTTCCTGGTGACTACCAGGCTATCATTGCTGCTCTTGGGCTAGAATTACAAACAAGCAAAGACGAAAGCAGGGAGGGATGAAAGAGGATAAAGGAGCGAGACAGAGGAAGAAACAGGATGTGTTCAGCTAGCTTTAAGTGAGGCAGGACTTTTCACTGCTTTCCAGGTGCCAAGAGGAGATCAATGTATCAGCATTTTGAAGACTAAGGGAACACATTTGATTTTCAGATGTGAGGTTCAATTTACACTAATAGTTGCTGTCCCCCAATGGTGTTGCAGAGGCTGCATTTCAAGGAAGTCAGGGCTCTAGTAGGCAGAGAAAGTGCTGTTCAGTACACTCTCAGTATCCCAACTCTGTTCCAGCACATGCCATAGTACAGTACTGGTAAGAGGATGGTGTTTTGGCTTCAGAAGTAGTATGTTCATGAGCTACCATTAGCTAGGGATTGTAGATATTTCACTATGAAGAAGGTGAAGTTGTTACTCAAGAATTGCTGCTATATCCTGCAAGAAGTAAGCACGCTCTGTAGTAATCCCATAGCTCCTGAGAATGCTTAATATTTTATTAAGGTTTCATCTCACCGTGTAAGAGCTGTCTTAGAGCTTTGGTGGAGTGGAAAACAGTTGATGCTGTGGGCCTGTAAGGCATTGCACAATGTATAGCTGTACAATATTACTATATTGTATATTTTAAAATCACTTACTGATTTGATGTTATTGTTTTATTTTCTGTATTTCAGACTGTCTCTCACAATTCTCACAGATAAGTGGTGAAGGTGGATTTTATTAAAAAAATGCCTGCCACCTAAGCCAAGCAAGAGTAATTAAATTTGGAGTCATTAACTGTCAACGTGGGTGGTTGCCATGTTTTTATTTTTTGTCCCTAGACTGTAAAACATGCAAAACAGCAGCAGTTTCTAATTTAGTTTGTAGGCCGACTTGCCATGCAATATGAGATTCAGAGGTTTGAAAAGAACACACATGACACTTGTCACAGTTGAGGAGAAAAGATGTGTTTGAGGAATGTTTCCCCGCTCTTTTTGTTTCAGAATGATATTTTGGCAGTGTACATTTTAGCAGTTTTTTAAATTAAGATATATGTATGTTGATGCTTAAGTTTGATAAAGAAAGTTTGTTTTTGTCAGTATTTTAAATTCAGTGATCAGTGATAGAAATGTGATATACTGTAAAGGGATTGGTGTGCGATAGCTGTCCAGATGAATTTGTTCTTCACGTGACTGACAGCACAGTGAAAACTGTGGTCTGCAAGACCCTTGTTTGTTTGAAGTTACTTATTGTTTCAGTGTCTGCTCTCAGTTTCCAAATAGCACACAAGACTAGTGTAATTATTGTTTATTTTTAAGTGAATGGACATGGAAGATCTTGGCACAAATCTGATTTCCCGCTGACATCTGACTGACAGTCCACAGCAGCTGTACAGCCACTGAATTTTGAAAAACTGGGTCTTCCCCCTGCTTCCCTGTTTGTGCAGATCATCCAGGACCGGGTACTACAGCACACCTCAAGGAGTAACCTCATGTGGAACAGTTTACCAGGAGGTCTTTTTACCCAGCCTCAGTACTCGACCTACCTGGGAGACTTCCCTTTCTACTACGCTAAGCTGGGTATGTAAATCTTTAATGCACATGTTGTACAGTATGCAAACAGTCACATTAATGGCACAGTTAAATGGGATTTACTGATTTTCATTAAGACAGCACACAGAAACAGCTGGTGTTTAGCAGCTGCTGTATATTCATAAACTACCATGTGAGTCAATGTCATTGCCACAAGTTATGCACTGTATCCTTATGAATTCATGATTTGTCACAGAGGAGCTTACCAATTAGACCTGCCACATTGCCATGTTCTATTTTTTTCTTGGTTAATTGACCAGAATATGTAATTGACTTTGTAATTTAACTTTGCGTCTTTTACTTTATAAGCTTAATTAGCCCTGTTCCGATCTAAGTAAACAAGCGCCAACGAAGAGCTGAAAGCTGTCAGAGAAATGCTTTGCTTTGTGTTTAGCAGTTGCCATCTGTCCAGTTTAGAAAATGTAGCAGTGAAAAGATTTTGACAGTAATGTATTTATTAGCTACCCTTTATCAGTATCATATTAAGGGCCATGTACAAAAGATAATACAGTAAAACCTTGGATTGCAAGTATAATTCGTTCCGGCAACGTGCTCGTAATCCAAAGCACTTGTATATCAAAGCAAATTTCCCCATAAGAAATGATGGAAACTCAGATAATTCATTCCACAACCACTTATTCATATAAAAATGATTACAGTAATACAAAATACAGTATAAAGTACAAATTAACCTGCACTTTATCTTTGAAAAGAATCGTGGCTGGCATGAGGGGCCATTGTTGCATTGACTGTACGAGTGAGGCGCAAGAACCATCGGCTCAGGTGTGCGTTGACACTCGGCAGACAAAGCGTACGTACTACTCGTATTGCAAGACCTCGCTCGTTTATCAAATTAAAACTTTTGCTCGTCTTGCAAAACACTCGCAGACCCGGGTTACTCGCAATCCAAGGTTTTACTGTATGATGTGATTGAACTTTATTTAGAAGGTTGCGCTCATGCTTGAAATCTCATCTAACAGATTGAAATAGCTTATTTTCTCACCTTTTCTCACCTCTCCTGCCCATTTTCAGGTGTCAAGCCATACCCCAAGTTTACAGCGATCATCCATCTGGTGACCCCACTGGTCTCCCAGTCTCAGCCAGTCATGAAGCTGCTTGTGGCCGTGGCCAAGTCTCAGTACTGTGCTCAGGTCATTTAAAACCCAGTCAACCGGATAACAGTGGTTACAAATTGATGTTGATGTGAATGGAGTAAATGTTACAGGAAAAGTGAGCAAAGCTGACTTGAAGAAAAAAAAAAGTTCGTTTCTGTCGGTGTCATTTCTCAGGTTTATCAAATCACTCAAATGCTGCAGTTGCAAAAAAACTGCAAATAACTCTGAGTGAATACATAATATTGAGATACAAAGGGTGGCAGTAGTGGTTTTATGGTCATAAGCTTTTAAACCCTTTTCTCATTTTAACTATGTTAAAGCAGGGAGCAGAGGTTTTAATATGCACAGCAAAACTTCCTTTTTTCATTGGCTTGTGTTTCATACCTTAGTTTGGAATTTAGCAAATTCTCAAAATGTAAATTCAGTTTTCCTGGATTGCTGTGAGGTACAATAACTGTAGGCAATGTGACAGTTCTGAAAATAGACCTGCAGCGGCATGACGGTTGAACTGAACTGAAACAAGACCGTGTTGTGTATTTTTGGTCTCTACATTTATTGCAAAGCCACACAAGGATTGTCAAACAATAAACAGTTTTCTTAGTAGGTGTGCATACACAGGTTTGCAGGTGAATCTGAACATGCTGTATTCAGAATGATGACTAAGCTGTACCTGTTTTCCCTTTGAACAGGTGATAGTTCTGTGGAACTGTGACAAGCCTCTCCCTGCCAAGCACCGCTGGCCTGCCACCTCAGTCCCTGTCATCGTTATAGAAGGGGAAAGCAAGGTGAACATGATACTTCTCCCATTAGGCAACATTACTGCAGCCATTTTATATTCAGTGTTGGCAGCCTGAGATTGAATTAAGTTTGAGGTATAAACAGCAGGCAACCCATTTTTCCCCCAAGTGTTTCCAGCTTCTCTGGCCAAGCTGTAAGTGGTTGTTTTCTTTTCAAATTGCCAATAACGGGTATTGAGTTTTGGACTCCTCAAATCACAGGTACAAAATTCAGTCATATTAGAGCTTCTGGTCACTTGAAAACCTCAGACACTACAGCTTTTTAATTTACTTTTTGACATGTTTATTGACTGATATTTGGAAATAATTTGTTTTAAATAATCTGCTTTCCTATAGTTTTTAATTTAAACCCAAACCCTCCCTGCCATAATATGGATGAAAGATGGAGTATTATAATGGCATGGTATTGTCATTTTCATGAAGTGTTATGTTAGCATAATGCACTCTGCTGCCTGAAGACTTCTGTCTGTGGCTTTAGCTCATCAGTGAAATGCTGCAGTTTTGCTGTCATTGTGTTATGTCACTGTGTATATTTGGCTATATATACTTTGCTGTTAACACAGTGAGATGAAATGACTAGCACAAAAGCAGACATGAAGAAAGGGGTAGTGCTAGTTGTCAGGCAGATGCACCTTGATGGTGCTCATATGAACATTGTTTACACATTGCTTGTTGTCATTGAGCTGCCTTATAAAACTCCTTACTGCCTTTAGCCACCCAGCCAAATTATGCTTATGAATCTGTGTTTTGCAAATCACACCAGGTGATAAGCAGTCGCTTTCTGCCCTATGACACCATCCCCACTGATTCTGTACTCAGTCTGGATGAGGACACCGTGCTCTCCACTACAGAGGTCAGACTGCCCGATAACTAATAGCTGTTTTTTTTATACAGATCCCTGGAATAAACTTATTGTAGTTTCTTGGCTTAGTGTATTCTCTCCCTCTCTCCGTCCCTCTCTGATCTTGGTCCAGGTGGACTTTGCCTTCACAGTGTGGCTGAGTTTCCCAGATCGCATTGTTGGCTACCCAGCCCGCAGCCACTTCTGGGACAGCAACAAGGAGCGGTGGGGCTATACTTCCAAGTGGACCAATGACTACTCCATGGTGCTGACTGGGGCTGCTATCTACCACAAGTACTGACACTACTGTCCTCTTTGCTCCTCTTTGCTTCTCTGTTACAGCCCTATTCATTGTAATGTGTTTCCATTTAGTTCCGCACTAACACAATGCAGTGTTTCTCCATTTTGCATCAACACTCCTCTCTCTCATGCTTTTTTCCTCTATAGATACTACCACTACTTGTACACCACCTACCTTCCAGCCAGTTTGAAGACTATGGTTGACCAGATGTCAAACTGTGAGGACATTCTGATGAATTTTTTGGTGTCGTCAGTCTCTAAACTGCCTCCCATCAAAGTCACCCAGAAGAAACAATACAAGGAGACAATGATGGGACAGGTGAGGCAGCATAATTATGCTGTAAAGCTAATTCATTTTATTTTATGCCTGGAGGCAGAACAGGTACTGTGTTAAGAGATTTTTTTAATGATGAGTCAGGGATTAGTGATATTGCTATTCTTTAAAGAAGCAATATATTCCTTATTATTAGGGGTGTAAAGTTGCATGTATTCGTAATGAACTGTTTTTGGTACAGGACAGTGCAGATGTGAACCGAATGCAATCTTTAATAGTGACATGTTTTGCATGTGGCACATTTTTTCAAATCCGCCTTCCCAAACAAGCATATTAGGTAGCGGCCGAAGTGCATTTAACACATACAGCACGCTTAGCTTAGCCAAGCTTCTGGTTAGCAAACACCATGGCCAGTGCAAATGAGAAGCAGAGCTAGAAGACCCTCACTTATCATTAAGGTCTGTTTGGAAACACTTTGGCTTCCCAGTGAAATATGACAATGGACAAAGACAAGTGGATATTTGTTTAGTGTTTACTGCTCTCTGATCCGCCACTTAATATGTTCATTCAGTGGTGAATGGGTATGTTTTTGGCAACACATCAAACTTGCTAACTCATTTGAAACAGCACCACACAAGCATGGATATCACTGCTGCAAGGAGCAAATGAGCACAGTATAAACGCTGCTTCCCTCATGATTTGAACAGCCTTTCCCTGGTTATTGGAGCTTTTATTACTAGTAGTGTACAGCAGTATTCCTGTTTTGTTTCTATATACATATTTTGTTTGTTTTATCTAAAACTTAATTTAAAAAGTTATAAATTGTTCATATTAACAAAAGTTCATAATAAATGACAAAACATTTTGTGACTCGTATTTTTTTCTCTTACTGTACTGAAAACTAACCAAACTGTATGTACCGAATTGGGATTTTTGGTTATCGTTACACTCCTACTTATTACTAATCAGAAGTAATATCAATATTATTTTCTCTTTCGTTAACACTTTTAGCTTCTCTTTTAACTAACATTTGCCTTTGAGCTGTAAAAGCCTGCATCATTCAGTCATTTATTTTCACAACAGTGGCACATTATTGAACAGACAGAGATCTTTCATGATTGTTGTAGAGGCTGATGGCCATTAAGGCCCTGATAGTGTTCACTCTATAGGGGAAAACGGAACCAGTCATCTGTAAATATATGTTAAAACTTGTTTATTGCAGTATGGTCTTCAATAAAAAATGAATAATTACAATAGGCTCTGAAAGGTCAGAATAATTGCTTTATTCATTGGTTTGTTGATCTCTTCATTCTTTTCACTGCCTGCAACTTTTCCTTTCATTCTCTTTATGCCTCTGCCTCTTCCTCCTTCTCCTGTTCTGTCATCCCCCTCCCCTTCAATCCCCATTCTTCCTTACCAACCCCTCATCCTCACTCTCACCCTGTGTCCCACTTCCCAGAGCTCCCGGGCGTCTCGCTGGGCCGACCCAGACCATTTTGCACAGCGTCAGACCTGCATGAACAAGTTTGCCAGCTGGTTTGGCACCATGCCCCTGGTCCATTCTCAGATGAGGCTAGACCCAGTCCTGTTTAAAGACCAGGTGTCCATACTGCGGAAGAAATACAGGGACATTGAGAGGCTATAACCCTCTAGAGCCTCCTTGCTCTCTGGACATAACAATGAGAGAGCAAGGGGGTGGACACGTCCAGAAACGCAGAGCCTTTCCATGAATGTGTGGAGAAGCAAATAGGATTGTGAACAGAGGGAGAGGATGAAATAAACTAAAACTGATGTGGAGGACAGCATGTGTTGCTCTCCTCTGTTGTGTCCTTTGTCCATTTCACCTTTCTAGTCTTTTTGTCATGTGTATTGGGGGATAGCTGAGCGCACAAGTCCCGCTACATACATTATGACTACCACCAACTGAAAGACACCTTTAAAACTGCTCGACTTTGAACTGAAGTGGTCAAAGTCATGGAGTTGGAGAGCCTGCGCCTTCAGTGTCCCAATCCACTTTGAGCTCTGACCTGATGAAAGAGACAGTCTCTTCTGCTCTGTACACTAAGCACAGGCTCCTGAACGTTTTTGCTGACATAAAATTATGATAATTGTGAGTATGAAGAGGATAACACTATTTTGGATTGTTTAGCTATTTTTTATACAGTGAATGAATGGCCAGCACTACTCTCTCTGTATCGTCTTAATTAAAACCAATAGCAGGGTGAGTGAAGAGAGAATGACAACCCCTCAACCACAAAACTGAGTTCTGATGGTGATCTGATATTCACAGTGCCTCAAGTTTCTCCGACGGCGTCGGGATGTGGGAGTCTGAGAAGAAGACACGGTGCAGAAAGGGCACCTTCATCTTGCTGCGTTTCGTGTTTTCATGATTTGTGATTTTCTTTATAATTGATTGAATTATGGGTCTCCGAGTAAATGTTTTGGTTCAGTATTTACGTTTTTTTCACTGAAGTATAATGAAAATGTGTTTTTATCCTGGTGAGCAAACAAAATTGTCATTGTGTGCCATTCTGAATTTTTTGTTTCTGGTTAAGCTACAACAGTCTTATACAACGAGCTGGATTTCACAAAATTTGCTATGTGGGAATAGATATCCACAGAACCTGAAGAGAGATGCAGAGAAGGTTCAGTGGAATTATCATTTCAACAAGAAGTCTTCTTCATGCCCTGTTTCATTTGTGAAGGTTTATATGCCAAGCTATAATTGGAACTTGAGTGCGCTCTGGCCTGAAGAACAACAGAGGATGATACGAATTGCCCTGCTGAAGGGAGGCTGAGCTTGCCAGTTGAGCTACCTATGGTTCTGTTTGACGCAAACCACTGTGAAAGCTAGAGAAGCAGTAATTATCTCTGCACCATAGACCCAATTTTATTTTGTCCAGTGACAGATTTGGCGGTAGACCTGTTGACGTGGGCTAACACTGTTTTCATGTAGGAGTATCAAACAGCATTTGATGTTGTCATAAGTCAAGAGCTGTCATCACATTAAGTACTGTCTTTTTCCTGCTTGTCATAAACAAAAATCAACAGGAGTTCTCACCAAGCATTTGTGATGCTGTTAAAAGTGATGGGGATGAGCTGTGTACCTTTAGGGAGAGGCACTCTATGAAGTAATTCTCATTTGTGCTTTTCCTTCATCTTAAATACATGTCATTAGAAGCTTTTAGTGGGCCACTATACTTGAAGAATGCCAAACTGTATCTGTGGTAATCACAAATTTAAACAGCTGCTCTTCTCTGAGAGATTTGGATTGGCAATATGCTTTTATGCTTGGGCCACAATCAAGAAGCAAAATGTAAGGATGTTGAGAATATGTCCCATTGTTTAGTATGCCTCATAAATGACATCTTGATTAGTTTCTGTATGTTACTTATCTCAACCTGAAGCGCGCATCATTTGCTGCCAAACTGTACATTGACTGCCAAGTGTGTGGAACATGAAATTGGGTTTTTGCGGATGGATCAATAGGTTTATTAACTTAAACAATTTCTGTTTGGTTCATTACCAATCAGATCTTGTTTTATTTCAGTCTTGATATGTCATGTTATCTAAATGTTCATGCAAGTTGATGAATCTCAAATGAGTAACTGTTTTAAATCACCCTGCCATCAATTTAAAGTTCATCTGTCCATAAAGTATCTCTGTAAAGCCAGCAACATTTGTACAGAAATGTAACAACTCCTGTCCTAACACCCTCAGTAACTTCACATTCATTTTTGTAGAAGATAATGCAAATCCTCATCTTTGGTGAGCTTTACAGTCCTTCACAGACCCGAACAATGTGCCACTAGGTCATTTTCTGGTTTTGTTAATAGATGCTTTCATCTGATATGAGGAATGCTATGCATTCCTATATTTATTTTTGTTCTTTAAAGTATTTCTGTATGTCCAAGAAAGTAAGAAAATGTACAAGGAGAAGTGAAGGAAAAGAAAAGTCTATATGTGTGAGACTAAACAAAATCAGCAGAGAAGGGTGCCTCATGGTATTTTTCACTTTTGAGAATGTGCTGTCAAAGTGACGGCAAATAAACAATCCTAGTATTACTACAGTGCTATCAAGAAAACAGACTATGGCTGTAAACAGGATCACATTTCAGAAATGAACTTGGTGCAATATTTTAGGTATTTTCAATATCTTTTTTTTTTTCCTTGTGCTCTTTCAGAGGGTCTGGGGTTATACAGTATATTGATGTGCCTTCAGAAGAAATATACTTGTGAAATTTCCCCCATCTGCCTTGTGCAACAAACAGGTCCCTGTTTTATTTTCAATGCGTATTTCTTTTTAGTTTTTTTATCAGTATCCATTAACACTGGCTCCTTATATGTTTCAGCACTGGAATGCTTATCACAACACATCTCATACTGACATTCCCACTATTTTCAGTCTTCTTAGATTCATACTGACCATGCTTTGTGTTACTATTCTTGTGAGGGGCCCAACAGCCCCCTCTTCCTGGTTTTCACAAGTATAGTACCACATGAAATACTGTAATTCTCTCGCACATTTATTAGACAGGATTGTGTCTCTACTAAATTTCTATGTTTCCTTCACTCTCTTCAGTATCTGCAGAATTAATTTTCTAGAGATTAAAATGAAAAGATAGATGAAAACCACAGTTTTGTAAAAGAATTTTATAAATACAAAAAACCTGACAAATAAAATGTTTGACATAAATTGACTGTCTGCCTTTGGTCCTATTTTTCTTAATTTTCAAAATGTTTTGGTGGTGAAAATCCTCTGATCTTTCAAATAAGTATTTAATCAGACTTCTGAGATACTGAAATTACATACTTGTGATCTACGGTGTGCTGTGAAAGTCATTTTCAACTGGATACACATACAATAGAATCTCTTTTTCTCCCACTTTACCCTGTCATCCTTCTGCTCTGTCCTGCCCGCAACCCATTTTCTGGCTTCCCAAACATACAGTATTTCCAGTGTTGGGTTTCTGCACAGAGGAAGAGCCAAACTAAATAATACCTTTAGCTTCCTCCTGAGAGTGTGCGAACATCATCCTATGCCAAAATACTGCTGTGTATACATAAATCTGTGTCAGGATGATTGGTTTAGACATGCTGCATAAATAATAGCATCTATCCAGGATGATCCCATGGTGCATGAGAGAGCTACAGGAGAGATTGCTACCCCAACTGCCCTAAAATGACACACACACACACACACACACACCAAACTGGACAAAGCTCTCAAAGCAAAAAGATGTGCGGTATGTAAAAGCTGGACCGAAGCTGACATAGGATAAATGATAAATGATGTAGGGTCAAGCCAAAAGGAACCCCATTTGGACAGTTACACTGAGATCACATCCACGCTGTATGGGAAACAAGATCCAGATGTGTAGTTTGTGGAAATATGTGATTTTTGTTAAGCTGAGCCGTAAAGCTTCACAAACAGCTGCTAGAAAGTTTCAATGCACCTAGGGTGCCTGTCCAGTGGCAAAAGTTGCTCATATGATTTAATGGTATCCTAATCCGTTCAATGTCACTTCATCCTATTGATGAGATGGAGCTCAGCATGTGTGCACACAGGGCTCTTCCCTACTGTGGGATTAAAAACTGTGACTCCAGGCCAAATGTTCTTACCTTTCTATCATCTTTGCATCAGATCTCATCAGATATGATTTGTATTTTCTGTCTTGGTATATGGGGAATTATGTTCTCATGGTGGCATCTGTCTGAGTTAACTATATTTTGAACATTGCAAAAAAAAAAAAAAAAGAAAAAGAGGGACAGCAAAAGCTGTTATGTGTGAGGGGGGTGTGGACCCCAGCTGCAGACAGAGACCAGGAGGAGTGGGAGCTAAAGTAAGTAGTTTAATGAACAAAGCATAGAAGGCTCCCTGTGGCAACATAATTGAATATATTAAGATTAGGCACATTGAGGCACTATTAGCTAGAGACAATTAATTTAACAGGAATAAAGAAATTTAATTCTTCACTCAGTATTTGCCTAGATAAAAATCTGTCTCTTCTTTTAGTCCACATCTCCTCTGAGTGTATTTGTGTGTGCATAAAAGAATTCCTCAGTAAACCCAGAAAACAAGATATTTTAGTTTATACAGCTTGGCTGATTATAATGGACTTGTGTTTTAATATCAGATGTTTGTGACTTGCATCTTGAACTTCAACAACATAGCTCATCTAAAGTAAAAACGCATCAGTTTAGAAGTGGTTGCTTTCACTGGGGCTGTTTGGATGCGTCTGTCATACGACAGCAGCACACAGCAATCAGCTATCTGGATAAAATTATCTTGTTTGACAGATGGGAACACAGAACTGTGTCACCACGAAGACATGGCTGTGTCATACACCCATTTCTGTGCATGTTGCACAAGACATTAGAGATCTATACACAAATGTCTTGGTTTAATATACCTATAAATCAATGATGCAACACAATTTCAAATCATGTTATTTGGTTTACGTAATAATTTATCTAGGTATCCACTCTGGTCCAGTGTCAGCTGGGATAGGCTCCAGACCCCCCCACACACACACACACATCCCCCCCCCACCCCCATTTAAAAGATTAAATCAAACATTACTTTAATAATGTGTGAGTGTAAGCTCAGTTACCCACCAGCCATACAATGGCATGTAGCCCTACTCCTAATAAATCATAAACATGCTCAACTGGTAGTAATTCTACTGCAACAGATGCTGCAGCCTATGAGACCAATCTGCTTAGTTTACTACATACCAGTTTTGAAGTTTGATTGCAGATGATTCAGTTTCTCTGTCAAACATGTTCCTTCTTATCTCTGTATTTACAGGCCTACTGTTTGGAAATTGGTTTTATATGGATGTCCAGTTCCCTGCATATCAAGGACTGTGTACAGAGGACTGAATTTGGTAGAGTGCAGAGTTTCTTTCTCATGTAAACATTATGAAACTGTTTTCTTTTTAGCTGATCTTTAAATATACCTTAATTGATTGAGTGACTTAGCCATTAAACATAACTTTAATTAGTTGTTGTTACTAGGCATTTCTCACAGTAGTCATTTTGACATATCCTGGCAGGAAAGCACAGGTGGATCTAATTATGTTAACAATGGCTCCATTCTATTTAAGTGTCACAGTAAGCCATGGAAATAAGGCAGCATGAGTGACAGCCCTGAATGAAACACAGCAATTAATGTCATTAATTGCACCAGCGCTTTTCCTGCTTTTACATAGTGAAATGTCTTGCTGTGAAAGTGTACTGAGAGACATTTAGATTTAGTTTTAGCCTTTGCTGTCGATGTGGGGTATCACATAGTTCTCTATAGCCTACACAGTTTCATCTGAATGCTTTGGTCCACTCAGTAGTACAGCTGTTATCCCTACCTAATATTTAGTAATTACCAGCTACAGTATATCAGACAATTACCATTATCTGTACTATTATCTGTACACCTTTAAGTAATCTTGAATCCTATCCACACCCAAGCAAAGAGCAGATACTTGGTGGCATGACCTGGCCTTATACCTGCATTGACAACTTCTTCAGAGAGCCAGGGCTGCCAGACAAGTCCATGGAGTTATCAGGCAAGGAGGCTCAACAGTGTATTCACGGCATCCCCAAACCACCTCCCTCTTTACCAGCACCCACACACTCACCACAACCATTAATAACAGGTTAAATTCACTTAAGTATCACCAGCCACCAACATGCTAATTTATTACAACCATCTAACTCCTAATACAGGTACAGGTTTATGTACAAGCATCACAACTGGCCTGGGTCAAAACCAGTGTTACAGCTTGGCATTTATTGTTTTCAAAAGATTGGGTGCTAGCTTGAACAGCTGGGGACGGAAGAGTAGGCAGACAACAAGAATAATAATCATAATGCTGCGGAGGAGCTGGAGGAAGTGAAGTCTGGGCATCTTTGCTTAGACTGCTGCCCCCGCGACCCAGTCCCGGGTAAGCGGAGGAAAATAGATAGATAGATAGATAGATAGATAGATAGATAGATAGATAGATAGATAGATAGATAGATAGATAGATAGATAGATAGATAGATAGATAGAAATACTTTATTAATCCCAATCTGGGAAATTGCATTGTTTCAGCAGCGGTTCACACTCAATATCAAGCACACATACCAATAAATAGAATAGATAACTCACTAAAAATATAAAAATATAAAACAAAGTAAAAAAATACGTTAAAAGTTAAAAACAAACCCAACACAATCAAGTACATATACATAATGACATGATGAATGCAACATATGCAAATTTATACAAAGCTGATTCAGTATACAATTACTCTCAATCCAGGAATCGTCTAATGCTCCAAGATGATGTGTTGTACAAATTAATGGAGTAAGGCAGGAAAGATTTCCTATA